TAGCTCCATCAGTATTTCATAAAATTCATTTTCACGACAATCATTGATCACAAAATTACATGCCTATTCCCTCGAAATACTTCACACGTGACCAACCATCTGAGACGATTCCATAACCCGTGAACGAAAGTGGTAGGACAAATTTGATCAAAGTGAGATCAAGTACGAAAATGTATATCACAAGGTGAACATGATTTATTATTTAAAACACTAATTATAGAGATATGTGAATTTTGTGGGTCATTCATAAACCTTTGAAGTTAAGACATGGCTATTACGCTTAACTGTACCCTTTCTAAACAAGTAATAGACGATGGCCGTACAAAATCAGGAAATTCATTTATCTTAGAAATATGAGTAGATGGATTTCAATCCAATTGTCTACAGGTAAAAGGTTCTCCACAAACGCTTGCACCACTGGTCTCAATTTCTTACGACGTCATTTAAAGTTCTGGAAAATCCTATACTAAGAAGCATCATTCTCTAAAGATTTTCTGCCCAAAACGAATTTATGATGTACTCGACCGTCTTAGTAAATTCTTTTAGTACTCCCACAATTGATATCTAAAAAATTGCACATTGTATACGACAGATCTGATTTATCATGTTGGTATTTTGTGGTTAAAAATATGAGAAATGATCATGTGATCTAAATAACAACGTAAATGTAGCGTTGAAAACTAACGATTTCTATTTCTTTGGCATTGTGATAGCATTCCTGATAAATGAATCGACCAAAATGTTGCCACAAACTAACAACTGCTTTCCATCTATTAATATAAAACAGAGATTAATTAATGAATTGACTTTTTCAAACGTCAGTTTTTCAACGCTTATTCTCAGTTCTCTTATCTCAATATTATACACATATCTTCAGATAAACTCATTCATCTGAATGAGAATATATTCCGATTGTAGATATGTTTCTGAATTTTCCTCGACAATTCCATAGACAGTTCTATTCAAAGAAATCATCACATACAAAATCTTCATTAATACAATCTGTGAAGCATTGGAGAGATCGAGTTTAAGTGGCACCATAGTTGTTCTCATTTTGATACGGAGATATGCCATATGGAACTCGTTATCTATGATAACATTCCTGATTTTCCATCTCGTCTATCATTAATCCATGAGCCATGAATAAAGTAACCTTTCATGAGTTTACTATAAATCAAGTAAATTAAAATTAAAATTGCTTGGTGTGTGTTATGAACAAAATACATGGCAGAATGTAAGTGTTTGCTACATGCTATTCCATAAACAGCATTTGATTTGCTGTCAATTTTATTGCCGATTTCACCTAATAATTTAATATGTGTTGAGCAACAAGTAGAGTTTATTTCTACTGAAATCCTTATGTGATACATGAAAAACAATCATTCATATCACTATGGGGGTTGTGGCGATCAATAAATTTCTGACTGAGATCATGGACCGATTGACGTTAGACCACCATTGGAAACCTAGAAGCACTGGGTGGCTGTTCCGTCCTATTATGGGACTCCTCAGCAGTGCGCATCCATGATCCCGCTCACGGGATTCAAACCTGGAGCCTTCAGTTTCGCGAGCGGATGCCTAACCTACTGGACCACTGAGCCAGTCAGTCAGTCAGTAACAACGTAGAACTTTGTACGTACGCACATCAGCTCGAGTTGCCACACCACATTAGCACAGAGATGCAGTGGTCGATTCAAATCCCGTAATGGTAGAGGTAATAAGAGTATGAGCAGTAATCGGGAAAATTAGTGTTTGGAGATGTTATTTTAAGAGTATAATACAGCGAAATAAATTTGGGAAGAGAAAAAAAAGAGACGAGGAGGAATAGGGAAATCAAAATTTGGGAGAACACAAAGAGTGTATGCACCTGCGCCATTGCAAACGATTTTCAGCCATGTCATTCAGGGTCTCTAACCATCGGTTGCTATCATCTCGCGGTCCCCAACCAGGTAGTCTACACCTACCAACATGACTCAGTCCACTTGTCAGTGACTTCATGGACTTGTGCCATGTTTTGGTCTGGCCGCCCCTAGCTTTCTTCCAACCTACTCCTATACCACTGAACATCGCACGTCGAGGCAGTCGGTCGTTGGGCATACGTAACACGTGTCTCAGCCATCTCAACTGATGAAGTATTACTACTTCATCAATTGATTTGCTATCCTTATATAGTACCCGTTTCCTAACAACTGCGTTACTTACTCGATGGTCCCAGGATATACGAGCAATATTTCGAAGACACCTACGATCAAATACTAGTAACCTACGAATATCCTCCTCAGGACCACTGAGCCGATATCCAATGGTGTTAATATCTAACCTCAACCAATCCGCGAAATCGCGCGACCATCTTCCATTGTACCGAGATAGATACTTGTCTCTACCCGACATGGGTTAGCTCCACTGGTCACGGTTTCTCACTAGAACTCCGAGAATTCCCTCAAGAAGCTTGTCACTACTGAGCACATGACAGTTATCAGTATATGGGTTGTGGACTGCTTAGGAGTCCCACAATAGGACGAAACGGCCGTCCAGCGCTTACAGGTTTCCAACGGTGGTTCATGATCTTAATCAAAAACAATCATTCACATTTGAAATACGCAAAAAAAGCTAAAAAATACTTTTATCGATTACAATTGACTAGTCTCTGTACCAAACTTTTACATCATTCAGCAGAATTTATTGATCACTATGTTGTTGCTCCTGGTAGACGTCTTCATTCAAATATATTTAAATTTCATCGTGAAGAGGTTGGAGTCAAGTGAGTCGTCTGAAGTTCATACTTGATCTAAACTGTAATAAGATTATCAAAAATTATTTGATGTTGTGATCAGTGAGCCTGTCAATTATTCAGTGTGTTTACTCCTAATGATCCAGGACTTCTCATTGCTCTGCACGATTTCAAATCAACATGACTGTATATCTTTTATTATTGTATGACAAACAATCTAAATGTACAGTAACGATGATAACTAGTTACCTCTTCAATAGTTCCAAATAAATTGAGCACTGGATAGAATGTTAATAATAAATATATTTTTATTATATCGCAATGAGTAGAAGATTGTATTTCTGACATTTCGTGACTTAGTGTAAGCCACTTCTTCAGCGAATAAGTAAGCAAATCAAAATCAATCCAAGTTTAAATAGTACAACGTTACTATAGCACAATGGTTCCGTTGTACTATTTCAAGTTGGATTAATTTTGATTTGGTTATTTATTCTCTGAAGAAGTGGCTTACACGAAGTCATGAAACGTCAGAAAATCTAATGTTTTGCTCATTCGGATATTACAACTATATTAGTTTTGTTTATAACAATCTGCGCAATGCTGAATTTATTCGAACTTACCCAGTCAAACTATGATAATGATACCTATCAATCTATATATCTATTTTCGCTCAATATATCTAACGAATATAATGCCTAAAAGATGGTGAACATCATAGACTTGATAATATTTTCTCGTCTTTTAGCATAGTTCAGTTTCATAGTTTGTGTCATTGACTAACCTCATTAAGGTATTTAAATCAATTCGTCCCTTTAATAAATTTCGATAATGTAATAATATGGAAGAAGATTATCAGAACTATGCCATATATCGACGCAATACATTCCAAACAATTTGATCACACCTATACGTGTTAAAAAAACATTTAGATACAAAAATAAGAGATCAAGTAGACAAATGAAAGATAAAAGGAAACAAGCTTAACAGAGAAAAACAATATGAAAAATAATGTGAAACAATCGGACCATTGTACTATTTAAACCGGGGTTAATTTTGATTTGGTTATTTATTCTGTGGAGAAGTGGCCTACAATGAGTCACAGAACGTCAGAAAATCTCATTCTTCTACTCATTAGGATATTAAAAATACATTATTTATTCATTGAATAATATAGTTTATCTCAGTCTACATTTTACCAAACAATTATCTTTGCTTCCACAAGGTCTATAACATGATGACTGTTAACAGTGTAAACACAAGGATTTCACATGTTTTTTTCTCACTTCTCAAAATTTATTACATCAATAGAAAAAATCACTTAGAAACATTGTTTCCAATTGTCTCCCCCATAATGTTGTTGTCTTCACTTATCGTTTGACGTACATACAAACTCCTAATTAGCTACTTACAATTATAGAAACAAAAAAATGTTTATGTCATATAAAAGATCCAGCGACAAGATAACACCTTACTCATTCCTAAATAAATGATAATCTTATAGTAATTAAATATACATTCAATTGTCAATTTGATATTCATTTTATTTCTTTTACAAATCACTTCAAGATATAGTAAACGTGTAATACCCCCCTTTTAAAATACTTAAAATGAATCAACTTGTATACTTAATTGAAATGACAACAACAACAAAAAGTACAAAACTTATTTCATATATAAATTATAAAAAAACATTTTCCTTTCGAATTCTCAACTATAGACAATGATATCATCATCACCGTCATCATCATCATCATCATCATCATCATTATCAGAATATGACTTTCTTCACTCATCAATATGAATTATATTTGCGTATCTATAAAAAGAATTCATTTATGAATTCGATTAAATTTTCTTTATTGTACACCTTAAAAATTATATTTTACGTAAATTAATACGTCATCTATTGAATTTCACAACAACAACAAAAACAAAAAGAACAATCAACTTCATCATTTTTTCTTCATGTTGTAAATCATTTCTTTTATTGTAACTAATCAAATATCATTTAAGTTCTAGTTCTATACATACACCATATGGATAAAATAATGAAATTGTAAAAAAGAAACAATATTTCATAGGTTACTTTATTTGATAATCATTTTTCATTTTGTCATTAAACTAAATATCAACCTTCAAAAATGTGCTCGAAAAATGTTCTAATTATTGATTTTATAATTTGTTTTTTCTAAGTTAACCAATCAACGATTAGTTTACATTTGATTGGTTAGTATGGATAATATTGGTACTTTTTTTGAATGATCCTTTCATATTTCTTAATTCTAGTTACTTACTGTTTGTATAATTTTATTGAGATTAAGTTGAACAATTTCAATTGGATTTATACTACAAATTATTAATGCAATTCATACTTCATTCATGTTATATTACGTAATTGGATAAATTAACTATCGAGTTTCTTTTCTCTTTTAAGTAAATAAGTAAGTTTATGATTATTTGACTAGATATATTCTTACTTACTTATTAACAAGAATAATATTTCGTACGTACATACAGAGTGAGACTATAATTGATGCATGACCTTTCAGCAACGTTAAAGCGACTTTGAGAGTGTCCACTTAATAACTAGAACCAAATGAAGATTATAAACTTATGTGAGAAATTAGAATTATGATTTACAAATGATGGTTAAAGTTAGGAATTCGTTTTAGAGTTTTCATCACAAACTGACATCAGCTATAATGCCAAAACTTTATTTAGCCAAATGGATGAGTGAATTTTGCGCCAAAATCTGAGATCTGTTATCTCGTACGTGATTGGCTCATCCATAAATTATAATCTTGCCACATACCGATAAATTTGCTACATTTCTACTAGGTTGAAAAAGAATTTCAATTCTTGATAAGTTCTTATTTCAGTTTGTTATTAGAATTATGACTACATTTTAATCAAAATGTTCCGAAAATTTTTTGTCTTCGGCAAACAAACTTATGTATTACAACAAATAATATCTGTAATTTAAATCTTCATACATAATGCCCAGTCAAATAGTTTTTAATTAAGAATACAACAAAAAGTCTCTATCTCTGTAGAATCCATTCCCTATAACTATTCAGTATTGTTTACAATGTTATCGGATAAGTGACAAATGACACATGAGTTCTTTATCAACCTGATAGTGAAGTGACTCGTTTACATATTTTCTATGTTGAGGCTTAAATTTTATTAAATTATTATCACTACACATTTTTCATCTTATATTCCCATTAATATTGCATAATTAATAGAAAATACTAAACATGATGCGTGTGGTATGTGTTTTTTTAATGTCTTCTTTCTCAAAATGTAATCAAGATTCTCCTATTATTATAGTGGGTAGGTGTTCTGTCATATGCGAAAAACATTTGTCATATTGAAAATGAACTATAGAGGAAAAAAGCTCTTCCCAATTGTTTCTCTTCTCCTGTATAAGTATATATACATACATATATTCACATATATTTACTATGGTCTGATTTACACCTATTTTGTCAATATCCAGGGATATTAGACTATTCTATCTGAACTTGTCTAAGATGTAGAATCAATTACCTTGAAATTTGAGAACTTAAACGACCAAGCTAAATCATTTTATCAATTTTGGAATTGATCTTAAATCAAAACCTGGTGAATATTCCCCATTTAAAACTTAATTCTAATTTTTCTAGTCATAGTGTACTGTATGATGTACTACCTGTATAACACGTTGAAAAAAAAATCAATATCAATAACAATGTAGGTGTAAAATTTGAAAAAACATGGCCTTGTAACGTTATATTATGATTTTATTGTCAATCACTTAAGTTGAAGTATATTTTGTGTGCACTACACTTGTATGTTATTATTTTGTAAAGTTTAAGCAATTAGAACCATAATTTCTAACTGAAATTAAGAACTATTACTCATTTAAGTGATTAAATAGTAATTTATAACTCTTAGCTTATAGTTTGGTGGATAGTATTCGACTATTAACAAGGTTGAGTTTGATGCTAAAGCTTAACAACTGATGGTTCAGTTCTTAAATTCGATTAGTAATTTAGTGATAATTCATTAGATTTCCTGATCAGGTTACTATGAGGTGAAAATATGCATCGTTTATTTTTTGTAAGGCCATCATCGCATAGATAAACAACAAAGAGAATAAAATGTTGCTAGATTTACACCACAAGTTTAAACTATTAATATTTATCATTCATTTCTATTAGCAACTAATATCAAATATTGTATCAATGGAGTGAACTAATGACAACTTAATACTTTGTAAGCCATTCCATCCGAGTTATACAGAATAATGCAACATATTTACATGGTCTTCCTCGGCTTTGGATTAATAGTTTGGGTCATAAGTGAGAATTTCGTGTAAACTGTTCAAATATCTGACATTGAAATATAATCAAAATTCTCTTGAACTAGAATATAGACACATTCCCATCTTAATACAGTTATATTATAGATAAGCAATTTTGAGTTTTTTTTATAGCACATGGATTAACCATCACTCAACTCGTTAGAAACGGGATTCATTTGAAGAAAATTATGACAAAATTAGAAAATTCGTTTCGTTTCGTTTTTTGCTCATTTCAGATATTCAGAATTGAGCTGTTTGAAAGAATTACTTCATTTGTTCTGTATTAATGAATAAAATTTGTAATCTATGTAATCAGATAGTAGATTTATTCATACAACTAATTCATGAAATTGTAATAATAATAATACTCTTAAACTAAATAAAATATACTTGAATTATTGATGGAATCATCATTGTCATGTGCTTCTTTTATGATGCATATAATGTAATCTACCTTTTATGTACTAGTTTCACTTACAGATTCTCAGCTGATTGAGTTGTAGCTATATATATATATATTCCAGAGTAATATATCATGAACTGTTAAGGCTGATGTTTTATAGTTAACCAAAGCATTGAAATATAATCGTCTTATCTAACAATAATAATAATAATAATAATAATAATACGGTTAATAAAGTTATATTGAATATAGATATATCCATATATTTCACTGGTTTACTTGTTCAAACAGGTTATTGAAGTAGTAAACACTTCATAATGTGATCTTTAAAAATGAAGTTAATTTTAAGCTAGAAATATGTATTCAAATAACTTCTTGTAGTTTACTAAAAAAGAAGGGATAAAATCATTGGCACTTTTGAAATTTTCCAAGGCCACTTTAGTAAGAATATTCAACTTGTCTATTATCTAATTGATTTCACTATCAAACAATATTATGTAGTACTTTTGATTAGGACATTGACAAACAAACATTGAACTATTGAAGAATATCGAATTATCAGAAGAAATTCAGAAGGAAGTTGTTTGAATAATCTAGATATTTATATTGATAAAAGTGTGTACAAAGTATATGCAATTAAATATAAAATATGACAAATGAAGACACGAAAAACGGAGTATAACCACAAAATAACAGTTATCATCATACCTAAAAGTCTATACGAAGAGTAGGAATTAACCAAAAAATTTTAAATCTGTCACAGATACCTGATGATCACTAAAGCAGGACAAAATAGTCGGTCGATGTGATAAGATTTTAGGGAATTCAATGACATGAAACAAACTAATCAAATAAGCGTTTTTCTTTTACTCGAATAAGTTTACAACACCAAGGTGTAAATAGAGAAACAAGAAAAATCAACTAAAATCCCCCTAGAAAAAAATAACCTTTAATTCAAAGATTTTAGGCAAGTTGGTAATTAAAATTAGTTTGTTTTGTAGTTTAATCAAATTAACTGTCTTGGTTTCACCGTACTTACCAATGACTCAAGATTTTGTCTATAAATTTTAGAGTATCATTTTTTGAAATATATATATAATGATATGTTATGACTTTAAGTTGGGTCGATTCTTACCCTGTGCTAATTGTTGTGTCCTTGACTGGAAAAATTAGAGAGCAGCGAATTTATCGATCGATTCAATGACACTTAAACACGTACGGACGGCCTACAGTCTCCATTGGTCCCACTTCCCTGTCTAGCCCAGTCAGTTGAGTCCAGAACACAAGTCACAGCCTCGGAAATATGAATCATTATATTTCAAACATACTTTGTTTATATACCAATCAAGCATACCACATCGTACCATAAAATAGAAAACAACATTTTGTACAATATTCAACAAGTGAACAGATATCGACCAATAGGAAATGTCCATTTAGAGTCCAAGGACACCATTGGACTTAACATAATAATTATCGGTCTATACCTCCGCATCCACAACATGATATTTAACACGTGTCCTAGCAACGATGGTCAGCCTAGTGGGCTGCATTTGCAAAAGATTGATCTTAGTTGATGCAACTTCGAAAACCTAGGAATACTGGACAAACTTTTCGTCCTTGTATGTGACTCTTCAGTAGTTCGTAGTCACGACCTCCCAGGGATTGAACTCAGGATAAGTAACCACATCATTTTCTTACTAATGATTAACTTTGAGAGGTCATTACCAGAACTCTATTGAGATATCTAAGAATGACAGAGTAAGAAAGTTGTCACCAATGAGATTGGTGAAATTTATTGAAGTTTGAATTATTCCCTAAGACATCACTTCAGTGGTTCTAACGGTTAAGCGTTCACCATCAGATCAAAAGGTTTTGAGTTCAACCCTTGGCTGAGTTGTGAGTACTCTGCTGAGAAGTCCAAATGAAAACATTCTGTAACTAATTCTGGATACAAAACAATTCAAGCAAACTATTCAGCCTCCATATGTCAATAAAGAGAACATTTTATTTATAAGATTCTGTTTACTGAGTATCAAATTCACTTCACTTTTTTACAAAAACTCGGCCTACTTTGATTTCCATCTCAATACACCATTATTACTCGTTGAATCTAAAAGCGATCAACCTGTAATACTACTGAGCACCAACAAGCCTGAAACCCATTTTTCTGAGGGCTTCTTATCGGCTTTATAAATGACCAGTACTGTACAATTTTGACCCTAACACAGACCAAACCCAGGACCTTTGGATGACTAAGTTCTCATCCAGTGATCTAGTACTCTTTGATCTCCCTTCTGATCTCACTGAATCATGAATCTTTAAAGTCATGATTTACTTGTATAAAAATCATAATATTAATTTAACAATAATATTCTATTTGAAAACAAAGTACTTCAATGTAGGTCATGATTGATTTTTGTTTTATCAAAGAGAAAAATAACACAAAACTAATCATTATAATAAACAACCTACCATTAAACACTATGGTCAATGCGTTAAGTAAACACAGTATACTTTTCTTAAATAAAAACAACCTTAATTTTGAATAACACTAAAGCTGGTTTTATTGTTACCAGTAAAAATAACTTTTGCTTATCATTCAAAATTGCGCAAACACACCTACACATGGTATGTTTAAGAATTCTTTCAAGTTTATTGATCTAAATACAAATGCATATCTTCTTTAA